AGATAGGTCATCTGTATAAAAACACTTGTGCATATGTGGGGCCACTAAAATGAAGTTGAACCAGACCGAGATAAAACGCACCTCTTCTCTCTCAGCCTCTGACTGTGGCTGGAACTGGTACCTGGGGTCAGATGACACCAAAGCAGGAGACAGCTAAGAAAGGCCATCCCTCCTGGATACAGACTCCCTTTTCCCTCCCTGCAGGTGAGTACCAGCAAGCCCTCTGAAGGAGCAGGGCAGGGAGGAGAGGGGAGGGGAGTGCCGTGGGGTGAGTCCCTAGTGGGAAGGAGACCCAGTGATTGTGATTATAAACTCAACAGTGGCTGACAGTTTGAAAACCAGATTGGATTACAGAAAGCTGTGAACTGCTGTATTAGTTTGCTTGGGTTGTAAAGCAAAATACCATAGATGGGGTGGCTGAAGCAACAGAAATCTGTTTTTTCACAGTTCTGGAGGCGGGAACTCTGAGATCATGCTGTCAGCAGGATTGATTTCTCTTTAGGTCTCTCTCCTTGGCTTGCAGATGGTCACCTCTCAGTCTGTGTGTGTGACTTTATCTCCCCTTATAAGGACACCTGTCACACTGGCTTAGGGCCCACCCTGAAACTCTCATTTTAATTTAAGCACCTTTTTAAAGGCCCTATCTCCAAATACAGTCACATTCTAACGTACTGGGTGTTAGATCTTCAACATATAAATTTTTGGGGGACACAATGCAGTCCATAATAACTGGGTTAAGTACTAACCTGGTCTGGGACAAAACTAAGATGTCTGCTCAAGGGAGAGTTGAATGTTCAGGGTCAGTGTTGAGATTAAGAGAACTTCTGGTTTGTACATCACTGAGAGGATACTCTTCAAATCCCATACAGGAGTAATTGATAATCAACCAGACTATCTTGTACCAATATATAGCTGACTAGTTCCTTAAACTAAATTAATACTCTCTTTTTTAAAGATTTTATTTATTTATTTATTTATTTATTTATTTATTTATTTATTTATTTATTTAAGAGAGACAGAGATAGTAAGAGAGAGCATGAGTGGGGTGGGGGCAGGGAGAGGGAGAAGCAGACTCCCCGCCCAGCAGGGAACCCGTTGCAGGGCTGGATCCCAGGACCCCAGGATCATGACCTGAGCCAAAAAGGCAGACGCTTAACTGACTGAGTCACCCAGGTGCCTCTAAATTAATACTCTTAGGGTGAAAACACTTCTAGGCTTATTTCACATGATTTTATGCTATTTCCCCCACAAAAGGGCCAGTGAAGATATAAGCCAGCACCAGAGTGGGGGGATGTAGGCCAAGATAGCTAGTGTTCTGGGACATGCCTGAGGTGGGACCCAAAGTTCATACTATTTCCAGTGGACCAAGTTCTGGCATGAACCTCTGTGGTATATGAGGCCAAGCCTCCTGCACACCTACGCTGGTTCCTTGGTGTGGGGTGTAACCCCTGGCATATGCTGGCTAGGAGATATAGCCAGCCTGAGATCGTTATGCTTGGTCATTGCCCTCAGGGACGTGGGTCCATTCATCTTGGGTAGCTCTCGGGAATTATTCTTAGAACTGTGCCCATGAATTCAGTTTTATTCCATGATAATCCTGGGATATTAATAGATCAACACACTTCTCACACAGAATACATTGGCCAAGTTGTTTTTCTACCTGCTGTGATGGTTAATTTTACGTGTCAATTTGGAGGGTGTTTTGGATGAAATTAACATTTAAATGGGTGAACTTGGGGTAAAGCAGATTGCCTTCCATAATGTGGGTGGACCTCATCCAATCAGCTGAGGACCTGCACAGAACAAAAACTGACCTCCTAAGCAAGAGGAATTCTCCCTCAGAATGTCTTTGCACTGGATCTACATGATTGGCTGTCCTGGGTCTCCAGCCTGTCGGTTCACACTGTAGACTTTGGACTTGCCAGCCTCCATAATCCATGAGTCAATTCCTTATAATATACCTCTTTCTCTATATATATACAAATCATATCAATTCTGTTTCTTTTTTAAAAAAAGATTAATTTATTTATTTTGGAGAGAGAGAGAAAGAGCATGCAAAGGGGAAGGGGAGAGGGAGAGAGAGAATCCCAAGCAGGCTCTGTGCTGAGCCCAACACCGGGCTCAATCTCATGACCCTGAGATCGTGACCTGAGCAGAAATCAAGAGTTGGGCGCTTAACCAACTGAGCCACTCAGGCGCCCCTCAATTCTGTTTCTTAATTCATCTCTTTCTCTCCATATATACAAATCATATCAATTCTGTTTCTCTGGGGAACTCTGACTAATACACCTGGAGTAGTTATGATGGTGGGTTATTCATTCCCCTAAAGGGGTAGACACTGCATCGTCTTTATGGAGGGATCTGCTGGACTCTAGATATGGGACACCCTTTCTTTTTATGCTCCTCTATTCTGGCTTCCCAGGTTTATGGCCTGCAAGGGTGGGAAAAGTCAGGTGACCCAGTGCCAAAGGCAGCTCTAGGAAGCTGGGTTTTCACTGAGGCTAAGAAGTAATGTGATTGAAAGTACAACCCAACATGAGAACGGAGAAGCAGTATCAAGCTCAGGTCCAAGAATTATGACCTGAGTCATATACAAGAGATGAGTCTGGAGATTAGATTTCACATTTTTTTCAGGCTGGAAATATGCACAGCTAACTGACTACATCTCCCAGCCTTCTCTGTAGCTAAGTGTATCTGTTGGGTGAATCTACTGCAAAGGGTCCTTAAAAGGGAGACAGCTGGGGCCCAACCTTTTTTCCTTCCCTCTTCATGGGAAGGAGGTGAGATGGCTGGTGCTCTAGAAACTATCATGGATCATGAAGCAACTCTGAGGACAGAGGAGCCTGGGTCCTTGATCATCTCATGGCACTGTCATCCCAGCTTGGACTGCCTACTTCAGATTGCTTTTACATGAGGGAATGGATATGCTCTTCTGTGTTTGAGACACTCAGTCACTAGAATATGAATGTGATTAATAACTGGCTCAAAATGATTTCATCTCAACCCATATTTTGCTTCCTGCAGCCAATATGTTGGTCTAACGTGGTGGGTCTGAGTAGCTTTGGGAAGTTTATGCAAGGGAAATGCCCAGTTATGATGCCAGATGTGACAGATGACATCCTGAGCTGGCTGGAGGAATTTGGGACAGGCCCCAGTCAACTGTAATCTAACTCCAGGCCAATACTGAATGAGTACTTCCTATAGTCGCCAACAAAAAAGAAAAAGAGGCCTGTTCATTGGGTGTGGCAGACAAAGAAGGTAAAAAAACTTCTCCTAATCTCCAGTATCCCCCAAATCCTTGGTCTCAATCCAGATACTCTCACAGTTGGGGTTGTCTTCTGGAAGGATGTAGCTGATACAGATGTGATGTGAGAGACACTTCTACCAGACTGTTACTGTCACTAGCCCACCCCCCAATTGTTCCTTGTTCAAAAGGGCATCTCCTGAGGGGGTCAATTTAAGTATCAAAGTATCATCATCTGTACAAACTAGGAGTACATCCATGCAGCCTAACCGGGCTCAGTCGCCTTACGGTGATAGAACAAGCCTTTTTATTAGTGACTGATCTGTCACTGAATTCTGTTATTTCATCCTTCAAAATGTCCTTTTCTTCCAGTTCTCAGAGCTAGTACCCTAAAACTGGCTCTTAGGACCTCAGCTAGGATTCACGGAACAGCTTTCTAACTAGCTTGCCCTTCACGATATCAATGCCAGACTACCTTGACTGAAAAACTATTTTATATCTCAGTTCAGCTAAAATGCTTCTTAATTTCCATAACCAACCAAATTTGAGTTTTGAGCATATGCCTAGCTTGCCCCCAACCTGATTTTCCTCCTTTATCCCATCAAATATTCTTGGTTAGTTTCCCAACTGTTGGCAAGCGCCAGCCCTCTTGCTGAGAAGCCAGCTCAGTGGTTCCTGTTAGCTATTCCCCAACCCAAATCCTAGTCATCCTTGGGAAGGGGGGAGAGATAGGGAGGGGGGTGTAAGAGAGTAGCTGAAACTATTCAGCACCTACTCTGCTTCCTTTTATATTATTCTATTCAGTAAGGATCCAACTTACACCAATAATAGTGTTAAGGGTTTACTAACTTCTATATAGAAAGGATTCACACAATTTAGGATTTTTTTTAAATTGTTGAGAAAGCATTAGATGCAGCTCATTGGGCTGTTAGACACAGTAGGAAAGAATCCTCTGTTGCACTTCTGTAATATTCTCCTGAGCTTTTGGTTCTTGGAAGTCACTCTGAACAAACACTCAGGACCTGACTGGTAAGGCTTAGTAATCAAGAAAGTACGAACTTTCGGTTCTAATCCACTCTTTTACTTATTAACTGTGTGATCAGGGCAACCTGCTTAACTTCAGGGAGCTCATTAATACCGCCTGGAGTCAACGATACCTACTCTAGGAGTGAAATAAAGATAAATGCATATAAACCCAGCAGCATAGTCCCTGGCACGTTGCAGGCGTTCAGTAACACTATCAGGCCGCCCCGGTCCTGGCTCCGGTCCCAAGGTCGAATTCACTCGGAAAGAAAGGTCACTCCGGGCAGCGGCTGGAGGGGCACCGGCTCTACACCGTACCAGCGCTCAGGACTCTCCTCCCTGCGGGCCCTCCCTAGCCCGCCAGAGCGCGCCAAGGCTGCTCAGGGAAGCCGCAGCCCTCCCTCCCAGGAGGTCGCCGGACCCCACCGCGGCCCCGAGGCGCCGGGAGCAAAGGGGCGGGGTTGCGGCGGCTGCGCCTGCGGGGGCCCTCCCCGCGGGCCCCCGAGGGGGCGGGGCTGCGGGCCGTACCATCTTCCACCATGGGGGGGGTTAGAGCGCGGCCTTCCCTTTGGCCACACGCTCAGAAGCGGGCAGGTGGGCGCCGCCGTTCCCCTGGCCGCCCGGGGCAGGTCCCTCATGCCCCTCCTTTTCCTCCTTTTCGCATCCCCTGGGCTCAGGGCGCGGGCTGGCTCCGGCAGGGCAGACCCCGGGCCGCGCGCCCCCCGGCGTGGGAGCGGCAGGCGCAGGGGGCGGAGCCCGTGGAGGTCGGCGGTGTCCCCGCGGCGCGGCCCGCGGGCTGCGTCTGTGTGCGCCCGGCCCTCGGCGCGGCGGTTCGGCTCTGCGGCCTGGACTGCTGGCGTAGCTCACCATGCTGTCCCGGGCAGCGCGCAGGTGAGGCGCCCGGGCCGCAGGGCGCAGCGGGGGCGGGCCGCGGCCCGGAGGGCGGAGGGGCTCGGGCGGCCGCCTCCACCGGCCCCGCTCCGTGCGTGCCCGCGCCGGCGCGGCGGGTCCCGGGCATCTCCGGGGCCCCGGGACGTGGGGACGCGGCGGGCGGCCCTGCGTCGGGGCAGGTGGCCGCCGAGCGCGCCCCGGTGCTGCCGCGGCGCAGGGCTGCCGCGTTGGTGTAAAGCTGCAGCGAACGTGGAGGGCGAGCGAGCGAGCGGTAGAAAGGCCCGGATGGCGCTGGGTCTGCGTAGACGCGTGAGCGAATCGGTCTGCGTCTGCTCTCTTCGCAGCACGAGCCGGACGCTGGTGCCGGCGCTGGGGTCGCTGGCTGCCCGGCAGAAGCACAGCCTCCCCGACTTGCCGTACGATTATGGCGCCCTGGAGCCTCACATCAACGCCCAGATCATGCAGCTGCACCACAGCAAGCACCACGCGACCTACGTGAACAACCTGAATGCCATCGAGGAGAAGTACCTGGAGGCGCTGGAGAAGGGTAGGTGCCGGGCTGCCTGCCGGTGAGAAGCGACAGGGAAAGGGGACCGCGAGGCGCGGCCCCGGGAACCAGGAGAGCGGCTCCTCCGCGTGTTCCGGAATTCACAAGGAATGCGGTCATTTTGTGGGAAACTGAAACAGGCCTGTGTGTATCTACTAATACTTAGAATTCGGTGTTACGATATAATATGGACTTACCCCCCCCCCCGCCCCCAAAGAGCTTAGTTGACAAAACCGGTAAGGAGCGTGTGGACTTTGTGGCCGGGGGCGTGTGTGTACGAGAGTCTGTGTGTTAATGTCTCCGTACAGAATCGTATTACACTTTTCAGCCTGCTAATCAGTGGCTTGCACGAGAAAAACAACTGACGGTGTGTACTGCTTAATAAGCTGCCCAGTTAAAACATGTCGTTTTTCCAAGTTTATTGACTTTAGGTCCTCTGACATTTGAGTAAATTTCGGACCGTGACATCTTGCTGACGGGGGGCATCTAGTGGGAAAAGGTAGTATTTCAGCCTGATTGCACGAGGTAATTGGCTAAACAAAAACAAGAGGAAGTTGCCACATTCTGGAAGATTTGTGACGGGAACCATGAGTACGGGGAAAAATTTTGGTGATTTGTACGGGAAAGGGGTTTTAGAAAATAACAAATTCGGGGAAGATGTGGTAATGATGGCAAGGTGGGGAATATCCCAGTTGTGAAATTATTTCCTGCATGATAACACCTGACAACTTGAACCTTTCTCTTCAATATTTTAAGAACAACTTAATTTCAGTCCTTCTCTTGTGCAATCACACCTTTACTCGTTTTCATGAAAGTTACTGAAAACAAAAAAAAGCTGTACATTATGTTGTATTATGTTGACTATAAATTAATAAGTACCTACAAAGTTTTCTTTTATTTAAAAAATTATATATTTTAAAGACTGTTGAAGAATTAAATTTTCATGTTTGAAAATTTGGGGCAAAAGTATTAAGTGACGTAAACATCATCAATCTCATTAAAAGTAGGTAAATACTTTTCAAACAAAAGTATTTAACTTGTACTTAACAGGAAAAAAATTGAATTGAAACCAAGGAAAATGTTGAACTTAATAGTATTTTTAAAGCAAATTGTAAAGCCCCGCACATTTCTATTTATTACTACTATTTTTTATTTTTTAAAATATTTTATTTGTTTATTTGACAGAGACATAGAGAGCACAAGTAGGCAGAGCGGCAGGGAGAGGGAGAAGCAGGCTCTCTGTGGACCAGGGAGCCTGATGCGGGGCTGGATCCCAGGACCCTGGGATCATGACCTGAGCCGAAGGCAGACACTTAACCACCTGAGCCACCCAGAAGCCCCAGTTACTACTTTTTTTTTTTTTTTAAGCTCTATACCCAATGTGGGGCTTGAACTCACAACCCCAAGATTGAGTCGTATGCTCTACCAACTGAGCCAGCCAGGCACCCCCCAAATTTATATTAAAGTTTATTTATTTATTCAGTTTATTTATTTGAGAGAGAGAGCACAAGCAGGGAGGAGGAGCGGAGGAAGAGGGAGAAGCAGACCTCCTGCTGAGCAGGGAGCCCGCCAAGCAGCTTGATCCCAGGACCCTGGGATCTCCACCCGAGCTGAAGGCAGACGCTTAACCGACTGAGCCACCCAGGCACCCCTATATTAAAATTTAAAAATGATGAAGTGGCTCAGTCAGTTAAGCATCTGCCTTTGGCTCGGGTCATGATCCCAGGCTCCTGGGATCTAGTCCTGCATCGGGCTCCTTGCTCAGTGGGGAGCCTGCTTCTTCCTCCACCTGCCGCTCCCCCTGCTTGTGCGCATGCTCTCTCTCTGACAAATAAATAAGATCTTTTTTTTTAAAAGATTTTATTTATTTATTTGACAGAGAGACAGTGAGAGAGGGAACACAAGCAGGGGGAGTGGGAGAGAGAGAAGCAGGCTTCCCGTAGAGCAGGGAGCCCGATGTGGGGCTCGATCCCAGGACCCTGGGACCATGACCTGAGCTGAAGACAGACGCTTAACGACTGAGCCACCCAGGCGCCCCTAAATAAATAAAATCTTAAAAAAAAAAAAAGATGAAGTAAACTTTAAGAGATTGAGATTATTAAGCTGGTTTTCAATAGCATGTTTCTTTCCCATTAGAAAAATTTAGATACTGTTGATTTATTAAAAAACAACATAAAACCTACATTTATTTTTAGGGTGATTTTCCTAGAATAATTTCTAAGAGGGACACTGATCTATAACAAAATTATATTGTGAACATAATAACAACAACAAATTGGCATCTTAAAACAACTCTACAAGATGATCTGTGTATTCTGAGATCACTTGGCCCTTTCCTCCTCTCTGAGGTATGCCCTAAGAACAGATTAGAGAACTTCTATTATGTAAACTCCCTAATAAGCACAGAGCTCTCAGTGGTTCTTTGTGTCTTCCACTTTGTCTCTTAGTATCTTGTGAATAATAAACACTTGGGATTTAATTGAACAAGGGAATTGCCATTTTCCCTAATAGTTAATCTTAGCTTCTTAAAGGCATGGAAAAGAATATTTTGCCTACTTATTTAGCAAGGTAAAAAAAAAGTCTTCCAATGTGTTTTTTTTTTTTTAAGTATAGATATCAGAGAATTAGTTTTTGTTTTTACTTTTTTCATAAAAACTACATTTAATGTATTCAGTTATCTAGTCAATCAAACATTTATTGAGTGCCTGGTATGTAGGAGGCAATATATCGGCCCCTGGGACACAGCAGTGCACAGAAGTCCTTGTTATTATCGGAGCTTTTGTTCTAGTGGGGAGACAGATGGACAAGTAAATATGTAGTAGTATGCCAGGGCTGTAAGTCCTATCAGGAAAAACAAGTTGGGGAAGTGGTGAAAATTGCCCATTTTATATTGTGGTTTGAGAAGGCTTCACTGATGAGGTTGCCATGTCCGTGGAGACACGAAGGAGAAATGTGGGAATGAGCCACGAGGCTATCTTCAGCAAGAGTATTCCATTCCAGTTCAGGCAACAGCTAAGGTTAGGAACAGTTAGGGTTAGGAAACCCTAAACTGGGAGCAGGCTGAGCTTCTCTTGGAAGTGCAAGGAGGCCAGTGTGGCTGGAGCTGGGCCAGCGAGGAAATGCACAGGGTCAGATGACCTGCATCTTTGAAGGCAGTTGTAGGGACTTGGGGTTCACTCTGAGTGAGAGGAGCAGCCTTTGGAGGGCTTTGACTAGAGGAGTGCCACGATCAGTGTGGGGTGCAGAGGAGCCCTCTGGCCAGTGTTGAGAACAGATTGTAGAGGGCACGTGTGGAAGCAGGAGACCAGTATGGGATATGGTGGCACAGATGCAGGTAGGTGATGCTGCTCGTCTGCACCAGAAGCAGGAAGAAGGGACTGGATTCTGGATCTTTTTTTTTAATTATTTATTTATTTATTTGAGAGAGAGAGAGAGAAACAGCATGAGAGGGGATAGGGTCAGAGGGAGAAGCAGGCTCCCCGCTGAGCCGGGAGCCCGATGTGGGACTCGATCCCAGGACCCGGGATCGAGCCCGATGTGGGACTTGATCCCAGGACCCGGGATCATGACCTGAGCCGAAGGCAGTCGCTTAACCAACTGAGCCACCCAGGCGCCCGATTCTGGATCTTTTTAATGGTAGAGCTGGCTTTGCCAGTGGGTATGTTGGTGGGTTGAACGTGGTGTGAGGGGAAAGGAGTAAGAAATGACCAAGTCCTCAAAAATGTTCTGAGAAAGCAGCTGGGCTGGGGAAGGCCGTTGGAGGGTAAGTTTGGGATTGGAAATCTGAAGTTGAGTCTTGAATATGCTGAATATTTTGTTGATGTAACATTGAACAATTTCCCAGTGGAATAGTTGTCTGTCTAGAAAATGAGAGCTGAAAATCTACCATTTTTTAAAAAAACTTACATTTATTTTTAGTAATCTCTACCCCCACTGTGGGGCTTGAACTCACCACCTTGAGACCGAGAGTTGTATGCTCTACTGACTGAGCCAACCAGGCGCCCCTGAAAATTTACCATTTAGTACAGTTTATGGAACCACACATATCCGCATTTCACTGTTTTCTATCTTTGTTCTCATTGTTGCTGAAATCTTCTTTTTTCTTTTCTTTTCTTTACTTATTTGCCAGAGATAGAGGGAGGGCACAAGCAGGGGGAGTGGCAGGCAGAGGGAGAGGGAGAAGCAGGCTGCCCGCTGAGCAGGGAGCCCAGTGCGGGGCTCAATCCCAGAACCCTGAGATCATGACCTGAGCCGAGGGCAGACGCTTAACTGACTGAGCCATGCAGGTGCCCCTGCTGAAATCTTTAATATCCAAGAAAACTTTGAGTTCTTTGAAGCTCAGGAAAGAATTTTCTGCATGCTTTGCACCCCCTGCTGGGACACTCATTGAGTTGTTCAGAATGTTATTAATTGAATTGAAAATCCACTGGGACAAATAATTTTTTAAGATAATCTTTTGTTGTTGTTGTTGTTGTTCGAAATTGTGGAATTTTAGGACCGATAGGGATGTTACAGATAAGCTAGTCTAATTATCTGACGTTTTACAAAGAAAATGGTGTATAGAGTGTTTGAAAAGTAAGAATTTTAAAAAGTATGTTTGCCTCTTTACAGGTGACATTACAACTCAAGTAGCTCTTCAGCCTGGGCTCAAATTCAATGGCGGAGGCCATATCAATCATTCCATCTTCTGGACAAACCTGAGCCCTAAGGGTGGTGGAGAACCCAAAGGTTGGTAGATACTGGTATAGTCTTAGCTACATTTTGTGCACAATAGGAATGACGGTTGCTTTTCTTATATTAATTCTGAGATATCATAGTGGCATACTTTTCATAGCAAGGAGTACAACAAAGTTGTAACTTTGAAAGGGACGTGTAGGAATGGAGAGTACATTCAGGGAGTTACGTCATCAGGTTTTATACACATACAGTGTCAGATACGGTGTCAACTTCTGGTTGAAATGTACTGTACATTAGAACAAGACTGGTAAATGGTTTTTAGAAAAGTTGAGCAGCCTGGGGGTGGGTAAGATACTTAATCATTCTGTATCTACTTTCTTCATCTGTATGATACAGGGACAGTAATAGAGCTGTTTTGAAAATTAAATAAGTTATCAAACATAAAATGCCCAGAATAGTGCCTTTTGCTATTATTTTCCTGCTCTTCCTAACTGATAAAAAGTTAGTTGTCCCAGAAAATTAGGTTTTCCAGGACACCTGGAGGGTAAATGAGGGGACTACAGAGCTAATGGTCTTGTTCACTCTGGCTGGTTTACTTGACTTCCTGTGTCTCTCGTGGAGGCCCAGAGGACTATAATTACCCTCCTCATCCCAGGGAAGTTACGGGGCATAAGTAGAGCTCTCCCTGTCTCTGGGCTTCTGGCATGTACCTTAAGTTTCTGTGGGTTTATTTGTTTTTAATTGTTTTGTAGAAGGCATCTTAGGCACTTGTAATAAGCAATTTCATTTGGAAGTAAAGATGAATGGGAGAGTAAATTTGAGTAGCTGGGCATTTTTTTTATGAGTTAGGTCTGCAGACAGTGACTTAATACTTCTGAGGTTTTGGGATTTAGTAGAATGTCAGATGTGCCCATTTTCAGCCAACAGGTCTTGGTTCTCTGACACTTTGGGTTATCTGTACCACTTTATTATTTGTGCTTATAATAGATAATTACTATCTATTATAATAGATAATCAGAGAAGTGATATTTTGGCCTACTTGATTTGGTTGATGTGCTCAATCTAGAATTATATGTTACATTGCTACAGAATAAAAGGACTATAGCTCTTACAGTGTACCCTTTGTTCAGTAATAAAAGACAAAAATCACTCTTTTTAAAATTACATAATTGTGATAGGAAAGATCTAGGCTGCCTTGGGGAAGAACCAAATAACAACCATAAAATTTTATTCCCAAATTGAGACAGAATAGGTAGGGTAGAAGTCAAAGTAAAATTTTCTGTTGAAGGGAAGGTAACGGAAAATATCCTTTCTTTTCTGATGGAAATAGCACAGTGAGGGAAGAAATCCCTCTAACATGGTTCAGTAACAAACCCGTGAATTACAATTGTGAGACCTTGTGATGCTAGTGTTAAGGCAGGAGTAATGTGGTGCTGTCTAGGCTCACTGGGTTATATTATGTCTTCCGATGTTGTCTAGCTGTATCTTGTGCCTTATGACAGGCATATTTTAATGTATGTAATGAAATTGTTTATTGTTACAGTCTGTTCACTTATGCATGTTGTTGGATTTTTTTTAAAATAGGGGAATTGCTGGAAGCCATCAAACGTGATTTTGGTTCCTTCGACAAATTTAAGGAGAAGTTGACCACTGTATCCGTTGGCGTCCAAGGCTCAGGTTGGGGTTGGCTTGGTTTCAGTAAGGAACAGGGACGCTTGCAGATTGCTGCCTGTTTTAACCAGGATCCCCTGCAAGGAACAACAGGTTAGGTTTGAAAATTGTTTCACATTCATTAGTGGGAGATGGTTCACTGTAAAGCATTTACCTTGAAATAAGGAACAAGAGCAGCGATTAAACCGATTAAACCTATCGTGAGCATGTCCTAATGTGAGTAGATCTTAACAGCTGATAATACCCTGAGTCTTGTATAAGCAAAAATGCTTTAAAAGCCCTTGATGTTTTTGCAAAATTAGCACATGTAATTTTACAGATACATTAACAAAACATGTTTTGGACATAAACCCTGCTTCATTTGACAGAGAATGCGTATCAGCTTACATAATTACATGCACTGAAATTAGATAAACACCACGCAGGAGGAAAAGACCTGGAAGCCGAGTCTGACCTCAGGCCTTGGACCCTCAGCCCGTCTGCTTGAGCACCTGTGGTCAGAATGGCACTAGAGCTCAGATTTCCAGACTTCTGCCTTTTTGGGGGGTTTTGGTTTTGGTATAGGAAAATATTTGGCTTAGAAACTCCAGGCTGGGGATACCAAATCCTTTTCCATGTTGAGCCAGATTGAATCAGAATGTCTTTAGGAAATAGTCACAAGGCATCCAGCAGTTAGTGGGAACTTTGATCCTCAATGTAACAGACCTGTGGTGACATCTTAACGTCAATTATCTGTAGTTCTCAGCCATGTTTTCTGCCTCAACACATGCCCGCAGACTTGCTTACATGCCTCATTTCCCTGGATATATTCAGATTTAGCGAGGCTCTAAATGGCTCTTTTGGGAAAGTGAAATGCTGGAGAATGTTCAGAGAGTCGGGTCTACCTTTGAAGGTGCCTTACAGACAAGGCTGTGATTTCCAGGTGAACCATGGCCACACCTGCTTCTCTTCCACTTGAGGAAAGCCCATTGGAATGAAAATCTGTAAAAGTCACGGCAGTTTACAGAGGGGAAAAATCATTTATAAACTTTGTTACCTTAATTATTCATAATACATGATTAGTGACCTACCTCCCCACTGCTCAAGACCTACTGGTTGGTACTTGTTTTCCTAAAGGAGAGCTTGTCATTTAGTTTGAGAGTTTTTGAAAATGAGTGTTGTGTAAGTAATTCCTTCTTTATACTATTTAATTTCTGAGGACAGTGTCTCTTTTTCTTTGGTCCTGTTCAGTTTTCCTTGTTAACTTATTCTTTCTGTTAGTGTCTCATAAATGTTCTGTATTCTCTGAGACTAACATTATTAGCCTTAGGAGCAGAGCGGGTTCTCCTAAAACTCCCCTGACTGCTTTGGAAGGTCCTCAACCACCCCCACAAACATGGTACCTTACTGATTGTCCGAGAATTGGCTCATGGATAGCTTTGTTGGTATTTCAAGAACAGCTCTTAAAATACCGTACTTAATTTTCCAAACTCTATTTTAAATTTTTTACTCTTTATCGCATTTTCTTACAAAGAGCAAAGCTTAAAAACATTTTTATGGGATGTTTATTCTTAGCCGAATTTCCTATTTGTAAAAGAAACTGAAAAATGGATGGGAATGTTGTGAAGGGTAATTTTGTATGCAAAGGATAAAGTTTCAGTGGAGAAGATGCAGTCACGTTTTAGGTTGAAATTCATAGTTTTTGCTTTTTTCCCCCCCTTCTCTCCAATAGGTCTTATTCCACTACTGGGGATCGATGTGTGGGAGCATGCTTATTACCTTCAGTATAAAAATGTCAGACCGGATTACCTAAAAGCTATTTGGAATGTAATCAACTGGGAGAATGTAACGGAGAGATACATGGCTTGCAAAAAGTAAAACGTGATCATTACACTGAGCAAAATAAGCTTTTCACGACTATTTTCGTAGTAGTGCAGAGTACTATAGTCTACCAGTAAGCTGCTCTATTGTAGCATTTCTAGCTTGTTCAAGCATTTGATGAACATGATTTAATGCTATGAATTTCTTGTTTTCAAATTTTGTTATTGGGCAAGTGAAATAGTAAGTGCTTTGTATGATTTAGTCTTTTGATTGAACATCATTTTCCGAGAGCTGAAACAGCCAGCAGGTTATAATTGCCATCATAAAACCATCGAAAAGATCTCATCCCTGTTCTCTTAGGGCCTCTGGGGAAGCTTTTGCCCCTTATTGCACTGGTAGAAAACCTGGTCCTTTGCCCAGTTGTTTAATGATAAAAGATTAAATTTGTTTCCCAAGGGAAATGTTCAGTTTTTCTATTGAAAATTGCTCTTTTTGTAAGTAATCTTCTGTCTAGTAGTACTTGATATCACCCATGGGCCTTTAATTATTTTTGGTCACATGTTCCACAGGGTTAACACCATTTTGTCTTTTAAAAAATATCACTTGATTGCCAATTGAGAATTGCTCTATTATGAAAAGGAAATAGTCGTGCATTTGGATTTTTCTGTTGGGAGAAATAAAAAGACTTATGTGAAAGTTTGTCATCAGACATAGAAGTATGTGTTAGGTACCTGCTCAAAGCAGACAAATCTGGGTCTTGTTGATAAAATGAATGTTGGGAATGAGGCCACAGACTGTTCTGGCCAGGCGCTTGCCCCACGTTTCCACCCTGTTCACGAGCACAGCTCTGCAGAGCGGCAGCCTGGGTCGGGTGCTCTCTTCCCAGAGTGGCAGGTGGTTGGTTTCTGGATGTGGGCAGCGGCGTGTCCCTGCCCAGGAACATTGCTTTTCAAAGACTTGTTTTTGAGTTATTCCATCATATTTGATTTTCTTTTCTTTTAAAAAAATGCATAGTCACTATAGAGCTTTATGTTGTATAGTCCTTTAAATAAAGGAAAACGATACCCATAATCCAGTGACACAGCCTGTCAGATTGTGTTCCTGTTTCGTGCTTGCAGGTGGGACTGTTTAAATGTAGCAGGGAGCCTTTTGTAATTTGGCTTGACATTGTCATGTCATTTTCCTTATTTTTGGTGGCTGTATAATTTATCAATTGGACACTTCCTAATTTATTTTACAGTTCTGTACTGAATATTTCATTGGTTACTAATTGTTATTTATTCAAATAATCCTGTGGTGAGCAACACACATAGATTTTACCTTTTTGGGGAATATTTTTTCTATATAGGTTTTTTTCTTAAGCCTGTTTAGTAACTGGATGTTTTCCCAAGTTAGTATATTATTTTTTCCCCAAGTTTATTCTATTTTTTTTTTTTTTTTTGCATGGAAAAATGGAGTAACTTAGCAGTTTCAATATTGAAGACTGAAGTTTAAAAAAATTAAATTTAAGGCACTTTTCTTTTAGAATTCAATTAGAAAGTACTTAGGCTTTCTGAATTGTCAGCAGCGTTGATGAGAGTAGTGATAACTGTGTATGCTTGTGGATTGAAGACACTTTGGAGACTAGGATTGCCATCCTTCATCTACCACAGTGAAGTGACTTTCATGGAGTGCAAATGAGAGTCATGTGCTTACCACTTACATATATGCATATATACACACATATATACATATACATACACACATATATGTATACGCAAGGCAGTGAACTCTTTAAATGGACCATTTAGAAAAGTAGAACCTTTTTGAAAGATGGCATTTTGAATACAAGTAGTCTGCCAGATCCTGGTTTGTATTGAACTAGCAGGTATGCAGAGATGACTGATTAATACAAAACTTTTTGACTTTTATTAAGCTTTAAGATTTCAAAAAAATTCGATGTTGAAATTTCTATGGCGCTCTATTTTTGCTCTGATTTTATGTTGTGGGAACAACGGAAAGCACACTGTTTTTCCCTAAGGTTTTGTTTTTTCCTCCCATCAGATAGATTTTAAGAGACTGAGATAATTTACAGATAAAGCTTTTAATCATCCAGCAGAAAATGAGACTTCAAGATTTTGTTTAGCTCTGTTTCTCATAATAGAAAAGACATAGAAAAGGTAAAAGCCATTTCTTCTGAAATGAACCAAGCATTTCATTGTTCATCCAAGAGGGATTTTTGTGACCACTCAGCAGTGCCTGCTCTAGTCTTAAATGTGCTTCGAACACCATCACGTGATTAATGCCGCAAGAAAACAGGGCATGAGACAAATGCTGTCTGAAGTAGAATCTGCTGCTTGAACTGTTGTGTAATAATTAAACTTTGATGTTGAGAAATTACAAGTTTTATTGCACACCTCAAATTCATGATCTTAAAATGCGATTTGAGTTTTCTGGTGACTACCTTTAAAAAAGTAACATCAAGACGATAAAATTAAGATTGATGTGTATTGTGAGTCATCTAAAACTAGGTCTAAATACAAATTTTATTTCCTGTTTTAATTTAAGCAGGGGAGCTACTGTTTGGGAAAGCCGTTAGGTAAATCTTTTATAAATCAGTTTCTCATTTTCAGTCATACCTAATGATTGTGCAAGCTGATGTCCTGTCTTCTAAGGTACACATCAAACCCGGGATGCATTAAAAATCCTATAAGGTCCTGGATAGTTTTCATTTAATTATTCATTAGAGAAACATTTATTTTCCTATTGTGTGAAGTTTTTTGATTATTAATAAAAGAATGTCAACTATCAAAAGAGGTCTGCATTATGCATGTGTGTCAAAACAATAATCTTGTAATGCTTTATCATTTTTACTGCTTTTCTGTGGGACAGGGATAATAAATGATAGGTAGTTGAAATTTTACTCTTAAAACTCAGAAGGCATATGAAGCCTATTCATATCTGTAGTAACATCTGATAATGTAATAGCATAGTATTTTATATACTAAATTATAAGGTTAGAACATCTTCAAACACTAACCAGACAGAACATTGCCTTGGGGCGCCTGGGATGTTCTGTCGTTTGGGCGTCCGACTCTTGGTTTCAGCTCAGGTCATGATCTCAGGGTCATGCGGTTGAGTACCATGTCAGACTCCGAGCTCAGTGGGGAGCCTGCTTGAGATTCTCCCTCTCCCTCTCCCTTTGCACCTCCCCACTCTCTCTGTTTCAAATAAATGAATAAAATCTTAAAAAAAAAAAGAATATTGCCTTAACTATATACAGCACATCTTGTGATAAAAAGCTGTTTACTTTTTTTTTTCCATAAAGTTCTGGGCAGGTGATATTTTATCCACTCATACTGGGAAGTACGAGCTCACCTCATGCATCTTCCCCTGGACTCTTTGTATAACAGTCCTGGAAGGGGGAGTAAGGTGCCCCTGTTTGGTGAGGTCCTGCTGCTTGCTACCCCACATGTGCTTGTAATGGTAACGGGTGCTATTCTCAAGACTCTTCTGGAACATATTAAGAAAAATAAGACCTCTCAATTTAGACTGTGAAAGGGAAAGAGAATGAGCGCTTCCGAGTCCCTGCTTTCTGTTAGTCATTTACCGTCCTATTGTCGCATTCAGTGCTTCTCTTAACACAGAGGCCATTCTGTGTTTGTTTCGTCCCCCACTAAAACAGGAGCTCCAGGAAGGCCCAGGACAGGAGATTCTTTGGTACTGAGCACATCATTTTGGCCCATATTCAAGTATTTTTACTAAATGATGTGATTTAATAGTGTCCTCATTGTAAATACCTGTATTTGCAAGGCTCAGTTCACTTACCAAGTTCACCTGCCAAAACCCACACGGATGTTTGATGGCAGAACTGCTGTGACTGAAGGCCTTGCGCCTGCCCCTCTCCCTGCTGCTGGCCTTCGCGCGGCACAGGAAGAACAGTGAATTTCATGGCAGGCCTGGAGCCCAGGCCTGGTGCTTTCACTCAGCACCCGTGGGATGCCGTCAGCACGCCTGTTTCATGTCCTATCCCTTTGATGTAGAATGATAGATTTGGAGAGAGCATCTTAGGTGCCAACTCCCAGCATTTTATGGATTTATCTGTGTATTGACTAAAATTGTGATAAGTGAGTACTGATTACACAAAATGTTTATGTCACAAAGGGCATCCGTCCAACCTATTCCTTTGAACAAGGTTCTCCAACAATGGAAGTCTTGCTGGTGTTGCTCGTAGCGGCTCCATCTCTCACTGGGGCTCAAGAAGGATGCCAGGAGCGCCTTGGTGGCTCAGCTGGTTAAGCGACTGCCTTCGGCTCAGGTCATGATCCTCGAGTCCCGGGATCGAGTCCCGCATCGGGCTCCCTGCTCGGCAGGGAGTCTGCTTCTCCCTCTGACCCTCCCCCCTCTCATGTGATCTCTCTCATTCTCTCTCTCTCAAATAAATAAATAAATAAAATAAATATAAAGAAGGATGCCAGGAAGAAGAACAACCGAGTCTTTCAGCTTCTTATCCCCAGCCGCATTGAAGCGATATCAAAAGGCGCAGTTCAGTTGGCTAAGCTGTCTCCTGGATACCAACTCATATTAAATTGCACCGCGACTAAATTTGGGCTTTATTCCTTTATTGCCTGGAGCAATCGTGTGATTATCATTGATTTGGAGTATGTTATTTCTTTATTGCCTTATTAAGAGACATTATCTTGTATGCCATTGACTTGTGAAATTCTCCGTGAGCTCCTGTTAAATTTCCGGCAAAGATTTAAAAAAAAAGGAGAGATCTGGGGGAAATAACCCTGATGGAAAGTAAGGACTATATAATGAACCCTGACACCTACCAGATTTTGAGACTCTACTACAGGTTAGACATTACAATTTTTTATTGAAAAAAAGAGAAAGTGGCTCATAATAATACCTCGTGTTTTTTCATGGAGAGTAGCGTAGCCCAGATTGTGGAGCCTGGCTGCCTGAGTTTACAGCCCAGGTACATCCCTCTTTTTGCGGGTTGCTGTACCGAGAAGTCCTATGTGAGTGAATAAGCTATAGATGTTTATTTCTATTTCATATAAAGCTCCCAGTGCTTCCCCTAGTCAATCGCTTACTCTATAGTGATTCACATACCCAGGCTTCTACTGCGCCCCACCATCTTCAATATGTAGTGCCCAGGGTTCCTGTACTTGGCATCAAGCTGGCGGAAGTGGAGAGAGCATGGGGACTTGCTCGTGGGGAGCTTACGGTCTAGCACACACCACTTCCGCTCATATTTCATTGGCTAGAATTTAATCCCATACCAAACTGTAAGGGATACTGGTGTGGTCTTGTCTGCAGGTCACCGGTCTCGGTCAATGTTTTGTTCTCGTTGTTAGAACAGCAATTTCCGGAGTCCCAACTCCAAGTGATATACAGTCCTGTCCATTAGATTTGTTTGTGGCCCCTCATGGTCTGGGGACCTATGAACCAAAAAGTCAAGGTGTCTGCCCAACCTTCCCATCCCAACCCAATGTAAGTGAAAGTGCATGGACAGATAATGGCAATAAAAAGTCCTGTTCAGAAAAGAGGGAGGAAATAACTCAGCACTCACTGGTCCATGGCAGGCATCATGAAGGGTGAGAGCAGTTTCCTGATTAGACTCCGGTTCTGTTCCCTGTGCTACATTCTCCTGACCCTGGCTCCACCCCCTGGAGGTTCTAATTTGTGCATCCTCCACTGTTCATTTGGAGTAGGT